CTTTGCTGGATCTTACATGGAAGCAGAACTCTCTGGGAGTTTGGTTTTAAATGACTTAGTATGACATTTCTTCTTTTGCTCTCTGTTGGGACTCAAGTAAAATAATTTCTCTGGCTCCCTTAACTGCTCACTCCCCTAGTGGAGCTCAGGGCTTCCTGGCTATATGAGATGAAGTGGGCACAGAGTCAATAGCCCAAACCAGGTTGGGATGAGTTGTGAACTTGGGACAAACTTAGGCACCAAACTCTAATCCATAACAGCACAAGGTCTGAGATGGTTCTAAGTGAACAGAGGTAGAGGGCAGAAATTTTTCTGAACTAAAATCAGACCAATTGGGAACCCTATCTCTAGAGGCCTTCAGTGGGTTATGGTTTCTTAGACGGCCACTAAAACTATATATTTGATGACTGAATAAATAAGGAGGAGCAAAGCAGAGAAAGGCAAGAATTGCCTATTCTATACTTGGGGCAGGTATTGGTGGGTTGAGATCGTATTTTGGGATTTGGTGCAGATGGGGAAGAAGGTGAAGACTGGATATATTTACCAAGGCCGAGGATTCAACAGAAAGTGTTTAGAATTATAACATCCCATCGAGAATTTAAAATTATCTCCCAAAATAATATAATGAACATTATATACCATGAATCACTGTACACCAAATTAGATTCCAATGGAAGACAGTTTCTTACAAAATATAACAAAGTTAAGGACACATTACCTAATATTAAGTAGCTCTGAGAGGAGGATATTTCTCCTGCATAGAACTAGCTGCATGACATTTATATTTTGAGAAATAATCATTTAACCTTTTTGCTGTAGCTATCAGTCTCAACTTATTGTGAGAAACACTTGGTTAGGTTTTAAGATTGGAACTTTTAAAGCAGTATCAGAGGAATAAATTTCCCAGTGTATAAATCTGTAACACAGGATAATAACTAGCATGATCTGTCAGACCACTATTGGCTCAAATCTAACCCAACACTTGAGATACTAAGCATGAAGATCCAGGGTAAGTAGATGTGCACTCTGGCTGAAAACACTAAGCTGGCCATCTCAGACAAAGGGGCACTGATTTCATAGATGCTGTAAGAGTAAGGGAGAGATGATATAATCTGTGAGTACTAACCCAGGAGTGGAGCTTAAAATTTTAAGTTCCACAGCTGGAGCACTATAGCTAACGAGTTGAGAAAATGCTAACGAGGCTGTATAATAATCCCCTTAACCTAACAAATGCGAATACGATTTTAGTTCAAGTCTAACTATAAAGTGAGATTTAAGTTTGGAATTTAAGGCTTACAAAATAGTACTTGTGAGTAAGGGATATGGTATCCATAAAGAAAGGAGTTTGATTAACAAGTGCCAGGGGTTTATGCAAAGGCAGATTGACATGAGAGCATAAGGAATCAGGAAGCTGTAGTAGAGACAAAAAGGAAGTGAAGAGAAAGACTGATTTACAGGACAGGGAAACCACACAGGTGAATCATACCCAGTAAAAGGTGGGCACTGTGGCACCACTCTTTGGAGATTCACTGTTGATAGGCATAAACTATGTTTATGGTTAGCAGAGTCTCCTGGCACAGTAAGTGCCCAACGAATAGTTTTGCCTTTTTTTAAAAAAATAGGCATTGAAGCCCCAATTAGATGATGAGCTACTTGATTTCATGCTTTTTTATTCTCCTCCTCCATCTAGCACTGTGCTGGGAACCTAGTGTTTGCTTAAAATTCATTAGTTAATTGATTTCTCTGTCTTTGGCATCTTCAGTGAAGCACTATTCATGAGTCAGAGTCTTCTTTTAAAGACATGTGAGCTGCCCACCCCCTCAAAATGGACAAAAGCAAAGAAGATGAGAGAGGGGTGAGAAGGAAAGGGGGTTAACATTTTACCCAATTAATGAGGGGATATATTGGTGCCCACAATGTGCTGGGAAATACAAAACAGTCATAAGCCCATCTCAGAAAAGCTTGAGCAAGTCCACAGGGAGAAGAACAGTTGCTGAATTTATGGTACCCTGGGAACCTCTATTTGTCAAGTGCCACAGAGGCAGCCCTGACACTGGCACAGGTGAAGATGAATTTTCATTCAGAGCAGTGAGCCTTCTGACTCCATTAATCCTCCGGGTTTTGATGATGAATTTCTTTCTTTTTTTATTTTATTTATTTTCACTCGAATGCCTCCTCCCACTGCCCTGTAACAGCGTGGAAGGAACAGAACAGATGGTGCTTTACGTGGAAGACCGAGGGCTCATGAGGATACAAAGCCTGCCCACTCTGAAATCACATGACTACACGTGCAAGGAAAAGCCTTGATTTCCCCTGGGAGACACAGATGCAATGATGTTAGTATTCCCAGTGGAGGGAGAGGAGGGGAAGGCTAACAGGCCATTTACAAGGAAGACCACACTTATACTAATATACTCTTCAGCGAGGATCATGTTTAATTACAAAATAACAGGAGGACCAATATCTGAAGATTCAAAAACACCGAAGTAAAATTGAGGCAAATAAGGATTTTAGTATGCTGCTATGCAAAGCCCAATTGGAAAGAACCGTATGGCCGTACAGTAGAATACTGGCCTTTAGTTAACCTGCCATTGGCTCTGACCCAGTTTTAATCAGAAGAAGCCAGGATTTACAACCTGCTTAAGGATGGAGTTTGACAACTGCTATAATCAGAAGAGCTGTCAACACAAGGACAGCTGTCAAGCCAAACTGTAATTCACAAAAAATAGTAGCTAAGCCCCCAAGACATCCCCAACATAGTCTTTGCACTCCCTGGATTTAACTATACTTTTAGTTTTATGAAAGTCCCAAGAATAGGTTAAGGGTCCTAAAATAAAATAAAATCAACAAATAGCTATTGAGTACCTATTAAATAAAAAAAGGTTAAATAACAGTAAGTGACTAAAAAGATAAACTATGCCCAGCAGATTCCCTGGCATTTGGTAGGTACTTAATAAATGGTAATTATTATTATTATTGTATGCCAAACTTTGTTTGGATGAACTTAAAAACTGGCAAAGGTCTAGTGACCTGGTTAAAAAAGAAATCTAAATTAAAAATGAATCACTCCTATAAGTGATTATTAACTTAAAATATTAATTTCATGAAACATTCCTGGTTGTCAGAATATTTTAGTTTTATATATTTGTAATGCCAAAAACCTCTAACTAATGGTATTATTTTTATGTTTAATTATCTTGATTGTAACATGTATGATATTTATTTTGTTCCTTCTATAATAAATAATGTAATGAGAGATAGAAATAGAGGTTGTTTTACAAGATCAATTATCAATTTTGGGCAGGATTCCTGAATCAGGGATAATTTTTATTAATGTTTAAACTCTGAGTGAACAGAAATAAGACTATAAAAGTGCAAAGACAGACACAGATATTGAAATATATGTTTACTCACAAACACGGTTTTGAAAAATAGCCTTGATTCACTGACTGAGGTGACCAGTGGTAAAGGATTTTCATTTATTTTATTTCTAGGAGAGACCATCTTCCACAAAATAATGCCTGTTTTAAAAGGATAGTAGGACTGTAATTATTTATGGAATTATGAAAAGAGCACTGGAAGTTTAACCAGGAGACCTGGACAAGTGTCTGGCCTCTGCTACCTACAGCTTGTGTTACCCTGTCAAGGTCACTTCCCCTTTCTGGACTTGAGATTTTCATTTGCAAAGGTAGGAAATGTGTGTATGCATATTATATATATGTAATTTTAATTAACAAATATTTTAAGTACAATACGGAGAGGACTATAAGGATTAATAAAAATTTTTGGTTATTATAAATAATGCTGCAATAAAGGTTCTTAATCATGTCTCATTATATACATGTCCAGCAGTATTTCTAGGGTATATATCTAGAAGCAGACTTCCTGCTGGTTTTTGATACCCAGGTGATACTAGCTACAGTCATAAATGAGCTGGGTCATGCATTTGGTGACATTTCAATCTTTTTTTTATCAGGTCAAGCAACCATAACAGCTAGCCCAATAAGTTAAGACTCCTCGACAACCCAGTAAGGTGCTTGACATCAAGCAAATACTAAGCAGTGGACAAAAGTGCCCAGGGGCACCCAGGCTACTTACCACTGCAGGGTGATCTGGGATTGCCAAAACTAGTAAAATAGCCTAATATATTCCCTCCCAAAAGGTCTGAAGGTGGTTGATCCTTTATCTGATTTAAATATTGATGGTTGTCTCTTATTCAACAATATTCACATCCAAAAAAAAAAAAAAGAATACTTTTACTAGTCACTTTATACTTTACAAAATATTTCAATATCTTTTACCTCATTGAATTTACCCAGTAGCTTTTTAAAGCCATTATCCTCTATTTTATAGGTGACTTAAAGATTACTTAACTATGCTAATAAGTTAGTAGGGGAAATGAGTTAAAATGCTCAATTCACTATGAATGTGCCCATACGAATTTTAATATACTGTGGATACAGACAATGGGGTGGTGAGGACCTGGGGGGGGGGGGCAGGGCTGGAAGATGTTAATGGAGGGAAAAGGAGGACCTATGTAATGCTTTCAACAATAAAGATGAAAAGAAAAGAAATAATTTTAATATATCTTCAATATTAGAGGTTATTTATCTATTTTTATTTTATTTTTATTTTTTTTTTAAAATATATTTTATTGATTTTTTACAGAGAGGAAGGAAGAGAGATAGAGAGCTAGAAACATCGATGAGAGAGAAACATCGATCAGTTGCCTCCTGCACATCTCCTACTGGTGATGTGCCCGCAACCCAGGTACATGCCCTTAACCGGAATCGAACCCGGGACCCTTCAGTCCGCAGGCTGACGCTCTATCCACTGAGCCAAACCGGTTTTGGCTATTTATCTATTTTTAAACAAAAAAGTTACTGTATCTTTGCTAGTAGCCAGGCATTTTTCTAAGCACTAAATAGTGCTGGACAAAGTTGAGATAAACATATAGAGAAAAGTTTCAAATGATTATTAATAGTTAAGAAACATCTTACCATAATGTAGAGCTGTTTGACCTTCATTGTCCTATAAAAGAAACAAAAAATACATTTAGAAATCTAAGTTATTGCAAAAGTATGGAAGTACATAAGCTATAGCAACTATCTGATATTACAAAGTTCTATAGGTTTATCAGATACATAAAATGAAGAAGTCAGTTCTTTGAGCCTCATAGTAACTTCTGTGGTTACCAGGGGCTGTAGGAAGAGAGGAATGGGGAATTATTGGGTAATGGGTACAACATTTCAGGTCGGGATGGTGAAAAAGTTCTGGTGATGAATAGTGTGATGGATGCATGACAATGTGGATGTTCTTAATGCCACTAACCTGCACACTTAAAAATGGATATTTCACAACCATTTAAAAAATAAAGAAGAAAAAGTAAAAGGTGTGAGCCAGAAACTGCAAGAGGCAATGTTCTCCACTTCTTGGAGGAAAGTCCACAGTAGGAGAAAAGAAGGAAGAAGTACCGACAAAGAAAAAAATAGCAGTGAGAGATGGAGAAGGACTGAGAGTCTCCAGTTCTTGTCATTCTGACTATACCTTTGCCTTTCTTGGTCAGATGAGCCAACAACAAAATACTCCCTAGACCAGTGGTTCTCAACCTTCCTAATGCCGCGACCCTTTAATACAGTTCCTCATGTTGTGGTGACCCCCAATTTCATTGTTACAAATTGAACATAATTAAAGCATAGTGATTAATCACAAAAACAATATGTAATTATGTATGTGTTTTCCGATGGTCTTAGGCAACAACTGTGAAAGGGTCGTTCGACCCCCAAAGGGGTCGCAACCCACAGGTTGAGAACTGCTGCCCTAGACAAATGTGATAGTTCTGTCAGTTGCAAACAAGTGTCCTCGCTAATACAGTATGCAAGACAATTGATGACCCAAACCTTGGTCATCTTCCTACCAATTCCTTCTCCCAATTTTGTGACTGCCAAGTACTAATCAATTGGGACTCCTACATCTGTAACTGCTCTTCACTCTGCTGGAAAGCTATCCTGCAGTCTTTAAAGATAGTGTCTTGCTCTTTTCTCCTGTTTTAAAGTTTGTCTTTGATATATTGGAGCATTCTAGGTAGACTTATTTTGTAGTCTCTAACAGTCCCTCTAGTTCTTTGAGTTCAGGAAGAGGAGGAGGCTGGGTGACAATACCTGTGATGCTTGTTGGGCTTCCTGAGGTTCTCTTTTTGAGTTTCCTGTGTGATTTATAATTGCGGGCTGTAACTTCATTTTAAATGGGGTTTTATCTGAAAAATTCTGGATTGAAAGTCTTTCCCTCCACAATGATTTTGCTTCTGTATCTGCCAGGCTCCTTAGAGATCCTTGTGTTGAGTTTTTAGCTTATGGATTTTTGAACACTTAAGTAGCACAAATTTTAAAAGGGCAAATCTCTCTCCCTTCCCACTATTTGGCTTGGAGCACAGACCAACACAAACTCTCCTTGTCAAATGCATTTTGCTGGGCAGATTATTTTTAGTCTACTTTTTTCCTGATGGTGGTTGGTGTTGAGATCTCTACCCCATGGGTATTGAGACTGGCCAATTCTTGCAGGGCAGTCCAATGAGGGTTTAAACTCACTACTTTTTTTTTTTTTTTTAAAAGCTTTGGGTTTATTTTATAACCTTTATGACTCAGTTCATCTTCTTCAGGAACCCTTCCGAGTCCTCCGGCGGAGTTAGGTGGCACTGCTTTCTAGCACTGTGCATAGCATACACTCTGTGTACTAGTCTCTCTTTTCTATTGAGGCTGTAAGCTTCCTATAAGCAAGTATTATGGCTTTCATCCAGGGCCTATCACAGTGTCTTGCATACAGTGTGTGTTTTCATGAAATGAAACAATGAATATATTAATCTTTCCCCATTGGTTTATTATTTAATCTCTTGACTACCTTTTTTCATTTACTTGAACTTTTTTTTTTTTTAAGTCCCACATATTTCCTATAGTGTGGAGTATAATGCTAGCTGTGATGATCCAATGCGGGCCTAAACAATAATGAACAGGAGATGACCCTTTTGTATTTTTATTATTTTTATCATGTCCACATTTTATTCATAATTTATTTTTTTAAGAACTTAGCTTTCTTCTATCTCCAGATTGGGCATCCTATCAAATACAAGAAGTTTGTTTTTTATTCTACCATATGAAGCATTGATGAAAATATTAATATTTTGATCAGAATAGATACAGAGGAAACACTATTTTATCCTTTTAACATTAAGCCACTAATAACATTGCTGTTTTCTGTGCGTAAAACACTATAGCCAAGTCCTGATTTTTTTCCCCTGCTGTTAACTACATTTTATCAATCTGAATCAAAAGCCGTATTTCCAAGTCAAGATTTCATATATATATACTGCAGTCATGGGAATAACATGCTTCCTAGATGCTCTCTATGAGCAGGAAATTCTGCTGAATGTTACTGGATTTCTTTTTTTGTGACCATAGTGATATTGATACTCTAATTTAGTTCAGAGTTGATCTACCATCTCTGCCAATGTTAGTTCTAAAAGTACAGTAGTAAGGCAGCACGAACCATTAAAAGAGTAATAGCAGAGCTGCACAGAGGAAATGAATTTTCTCATGTGCCTAAAGAGAGATTTTGTTCTTACCCAATAATTTGATACGTTATTTGATTTTAAATTTTATTTTAAAAATAGTATTTCAAGTGAGTATACAAGGTGGCACTGAAGAAAACTGGTTATGAGGTATTAGAAGTAGTGATAAAAATGATGAGTTAGTAATATGATTTGGGATAATTTTTAATATTTCTACACTTAGAATGTACTACCTCTTTCTCTATGAGATCTGTGACTAATAAATGACACTAATTTGACAATTGGAAATTTGCAAATGTATTTTGTGATTATTTTTTAAAGAATTTTTCTAGATATATGAGTAAGCCTTCATTTGAAGGTTACAGGCATACTCCTTACTTGAACAACAACAACAACAACAACAACCACAACAAAAAAGGAGGTATAGTACCACCTCATTTAACTGGCATCATTGGAGGGTGAAAAACTTGCAATTTTTCAAATAATTGGAACATTACCCTTTGAGCATGCCTGTAATAGGAAAAAGTTACTATTCACTTGTACTCTCCCTGAATTGGAATACCATCTATATGTTTATAAACATTTTTCAGTGAGTACAATTATTAGTTATTTCCAATAAAAATTTATCAAACCAATTAAAATCATGGTTACTTATAAATGGCTCTTTACAGTTACAAGCATGACAGGGTTATCCCACCTGGCACCATCCACTTCTTGTTTGCTATGTTCTTCAGATCACCATGTCTAATTTGTGGCTTTGAGATCAGATGCTGGCAGCTGAAGTGTTATAGTATTTAATGTGAAACACTGAGATTTTTGATCTTTCAACTTAGAGCATGTCCACCTAGAAATCAATTAGAGCAGGGATATGAACATAAGAACCATGACTCCAATCACAGAATTGATTGGCAAGCCGAGAATACAAAGACAGAAGGACAACCAAGTTGTCTTCTAATTTTATTATCTTTTCTGTCTTCCAAGAGTACTAGAGAAAGGGAGTACTTTAAAAAGACATCAAGAATTTTCCTCAGTTCTGAACTGTTTATATACCTAACTACCTTGATATATCTAAATAGGTATTTGAGAGAAACAGAGAAAGGATGATTATTTTAAATTACTCTCTAATCAAATTGTAGTCTTTAGAGACCTAAATTTAAATTCTTCTTTTTTCATTCATCTTTTGTATGCCTAGCTCATAATAAGTACTCACGAAATGTTTGATCAATGAACTCGATGACTGTAACTAATATAAATCCTGTTTAGTTTTTAATCATTATTAATAATTATTTTAAAGCAACTACATTACAATACTCTTACTATTATGATTATGAAGCTTTAATAAAACACATCATCTTGTATCTACAAAATATTTACCTCTGTTATTCCTCTTTGTATGTTAAACAGAATTTGTATTAAAGAAGGAATATGATTCCAAACATTTTTTCTCAGTAACCTCAAAATAGGATATAGAAACCCAAACCTTAGTCTTTATAAATATTCTGTTTTAAAATATATTACAAAGAATAAATGGAATTGAATGTCAAGAATGAGTAAGTGAAAGCTTTTACTCATCTGGTTTACAACTTATATCAGCTAATTTTTCTAAATTTAAGTTGATTAATTTTTTTGGTTGTTTCATTTCAAATGACCACACCAGAAGAGGGTTGTTTGTCATGGTTATTTATGCTTTTTCTTTCTGTTTTAGCTTAAAAGAAATGTTCAAATTTAATAAGTATGGAGTTGTTATAAACAGCAGCAAAAACAATTCCAATAAATTAAAATCGGTCATACATTTGAAATCTTTGCAAGGGATTATACACTAGGGTAAAATAAAAATACTCAGTTGAATTAAAAATAAACAAAATCACATAATAAAGTTAAAACGTAGACAAATTCAACCGTGCTTAAAATTCAAAGTACAAACAGATCTCGGAGGGGAGGGAAGTGAGGAGGATGGAAAGAGATCAACCAAAGAATATATATGCATATATGCATAGCCCATGGACATAGACGACAATGTGGTGAAGGCCTAGGGGTGTTGGGGGCAGGTTGGGGGAAGGCAAAGGGAGGAGAAATGGGAGAACAACTGTAATAGAGTCAACAATAAAAACAATTCAAAGTACAAAAGAAATAAATGTGCAATCCCTACACTATACCTCCATATCCTTTCTGTCCAAGTACATAAAGATTCATAAGAAACACAAATAACAAAATAATATAGAAAATTTAAACTCAGACTCTTAAGAAAAGGAAAAATGCACCCATGACCCCCTCTACGCGATCCTTTCCTATTACATTTATTTTTTCAAGTTTATTTTTTCTCCCATTACATTTATTTTTTAAATTTTATTTTATTGTTTGAAGTATTACAAATAAATGCCCTCACCGCCCCACCTCCCCCATCGTCTTGCGTCCATTGGTTATGCTTATATGCATGCATACCCATTACATTTAAAACAGCAGAGAG